GGAGCAACCCTGGATCTCAGCAGCATCTATCTCACTGATAAATGCTCGGAAACACATTCCACCTGGCTCTGAACATAATGAAGAGCGGAGTCAGCTTAAGCGCAAGCTGACAAGAAGTCTACGCAATGATCGCGAACAGTGGTGGGTAGCGAAAGCAAGAGAGATGGAAAAGGCAGCGGCAATAGGTAATAGCAGACAATTGTTTAGACTCGTTAAGGAAACCGGAATTAGGAACCCGACCGTTAGCGAAACAATCTCAGAGAAAGATGGACATATTATTCATTCTCAATCCAGGAGATTGGATCGATGGGCAGAACACTTTAGGGATCAGTTCAACTGGCCTTCAGCCACACTTCGATTTCCCACGATCTCCAGTCAACCTGAATGGCAAGTTAATGTAAGTCCTCCGTCCCTTTACGAAGTTGAAAAAGCCATAGGAAATCTGAAGCGAGGGAGAGCAGCAGGCCCTGACAGGTTTACTCCTGAGATTTTTAAGGATGGTGGTCCAGTATTAGCAATGAGATTAACCGAGGTATTAGGTAGAATTTGGGAACTGGACGTAATCCCATCTGACTGGTCTCAATCACTGATTGTGACAATCACAGAGGAATCAGTTTGACTAATATAGTGTCTAAAATATTAGCTTCAATAATACTTCGACGCCTAACTAAAGCTTGTGAAGAGCAAACTAGAGAAAACCAGGCCGGTTTTCGACCTGGACGTGGTTGTATAGACCACATATTCACACTACGTCAGGTCCTAGAACAGACACACATTCAGACGCCCCACAATCGTAGTATTTCTCAACATTAAGGCGTCATTTGACTATTGATCGTGAGGTTCTATGGCAGTGTTTGTCACTGAAAGGAGTACCAAAGAAGTACACTAACCTTATAAAGGCTCTCTACTCAAACACAACTGGTCGAGTGAGAGCTTATGGCGAACTGTCATCAGAATTGATCACCTCAAGTGGTGTTCGTCAGGGCTGTCCACTCTCCCCATTCTTGTTCAACTTTGTCATTGACGTACTTTTAGAGATAACACTCTCCTCATCTAAATTTACAGGGGTTGAACTTCTACCAGGAGGTTCACTTGTTGACTTAGAATATGCTGATGACATAGTTTTATTTGGTGAAGACGCTGACAAAATGTAGAGTCTTCTGACCACTCTAAGCAACAATGCAAGCATGTTCGGGATGCGATTCTCTCCCTCGAAATGCAAAATGTTGCTTCAGGATTGCGTTGCATTGACACCCGAACTAATGATAGGGAGTGAAGTAGTTGAGTGTGTCGACCGCTTCACTTATCTTGGAAGTCTCATCAGCCCTTGTGGTTTAGTGTGTGACGAAATCTCAGCACGGATAGAGAAGGCTCGACTAGCTTTTGCCAACTTGCGTCATTTATGGCGTAGGCGAGATATCCGTCTATCAACCAAAGGACGGGTTTACTGCGCAGCAGTTCGTTCCGTCCTACTTTATGGCAGTGAAACATGGCCGGTAAGAGTAGAGGATATCCGTAGGTTACTAGTATTTGATCATAGGTGTCTTCGAAACATTGCTCGTATATCATGGGACCATCAAGTAAGTAACACAGTTGTTAGGAAACGGGTACTAGGTAAGGATGGCAAATCAATTGATGACGTAGTGAAACTTCATCAGTTGAGATGGCTGGGACACGTGTTACGTATGCCCAACGACCGACTGCCTTGACGTGCTATGTTCAGTGGTATAGGAGTAGGTTGGAAGAAAGCTAGGGGCGGCCAAACCAAAACATGGCACAAGTCCATGAAGTCACTGACAAGTGAACTGAGTCATGTCGGTAGGTGTAGACTACCTGGTTGGGGACCGCGAGATGACAGCAACCGATGGTTAGAGACCCTGAATGACATGGCTCAAAATCGTTTGCAATGGTGCAGGTACATCCACTCTCTGTGTTCTCCCAAATTCTAATCTTCTGAATTCTTCATGTCCCTTTTTTCCTCTTTCCAAATTTCTTTCACTGGATTATACTCTTTAAATAACATCTCCAAACCCTAATCTTCCCGATTACTGCTTATACTCGTATTACCTCTACCACTACGGGATTTGAATCGACAACTGCATCTCTGTGCTAATGTGGTGTGGCAACTCGAACTGATGTACGTACGTACGAAGTTCTACGTTGTTACTGACTGACTGACTGATATTCAGATCATGTTGTAGTGTGAGTACATATTTGTCTGAGTTTTACTGAACGTAGGAAAGACGCTGTAAGGATACCACTTAGGGTCCTACTTAATGATAGCCAATCTAAGAATGTATTCCAGGAACAACTAGAAAATCTGTTAGGCCTTCATTTAAGTGATGCCCACCCCGAGACAGCGTGGAATGACATCCAGAAAGCTGTGGAAACAGCGGCGATACCTGCTGTTACGGTAAACCACAAGGTTAGGGAGAAACACTGGGTCTCAGTAGCATCTACCGCACTGATAGGTGCTCGAAAACCCATCCCATAATGCAAGAACGCTTTGTATAGATAAATGGAAGAGTGAAATTTGGGTGAAAATTCAAAAGGACCTATTTTATGTCTCATTAGATATTTCATAGATTATAGTTTCACCCTACTGTTTATAAACTTATGAAGGTTAAGGTTAGGAGTTAGAGTGAAAGAACAGTTTAGTGTTATACAAATCTCCTTGACTATCTCCTGTATCACATAAAGTACCATCAGCAGGCATCTCTTGTGCAATAAGTCACATTCACTTTGTAGTTGCATGAAAGATCATTTTAAGTATTTTAGGAACTAAATATAGACAATTTTTAATTAGTTCTCAATAAAGAGTACTTCTCATTGAACTTCGAATTCCGCTCAAAACTCTTCAAGACACCCTAAAATCGGATTTGCTCGTTAGTATAGTTTAATCCTATTTTCTAGTGAACATACACCCTGACATGTCGAGTGATAACTGAATAAATCAATGGTGATAGGTGCATTTACGTATGTACATTTACTATCCCATTGCTAAGTATCATTCAGAATATTATATAAAAGTGAGAAGACTTAATACTTTGGTGGTTACTTTCTCACCTAAATAAACCTCTAAAAACGGAAGTTGAGTAAAGAAATATATTTTTAATCAGTTCCTCATCAAGGCTCTTTACGAATAGTATAAGCTTTACAGTTAATAATCAAATCAATACAAAATTAATGTTGGTTGATCAATTAAGCAATGCTTCCTCTAAAGTAGTAATTACTTAGAAGCTACACAGATGTAAAGGCAAATTCTAAGCTAAGATTATGTAATCGGTTTATTATAAAACTCCGCTATGTAAGAATTAGAGTTGAAGACCTAACCAAGCAGTTGAATGAATATATTTTAACCAGTTTGGCTGGCCTTGTGGACGATGAATTCCAACGAACATGAAACCCAAGCTCAGACCTTCCTGTCGATTATCTCCAATAACTTAATAGGACTTGTTCAAATTAAACGGACATTATCTGAAACTCATAGCTAACATATTACACAATGAAAAAGAAGAAACATTTTCTTGAAAGCAATTCAAAGTAAAATATCAGATTACTTTCAATGACCCTATCATCTATTGTGATTTAATGTAAGCTTGTTTTCAGTTCATACATTCACTGAAAGCAAACAATTTAAATGGATGCAAAAAAAGTGAAAAGAGGTAGTCGTTATACACTTTTAGTGTGAAAAACACACATATATACATACACGTAGGAGAAAAAGTTGTAGGAATGACAAATAATAATTTTACTGGACCAGTTTATAAAATACTGATTTTGTACATAATTCTGAAGTGATGCAGTAAATCACTAAAACAGGATAAAGTATCATATTATTAAAATAACAAGAAAGTATTACATACGTTGGGTGTATTTTTAATTGAAAATAGTGTATGATGCAATTCATTAGTGTGCGTTCTTTTTCGCAAACATATACTTGTTGATTAGTTGCGCCAACCAGAAACAAGCTGTCGTAAAAGTACAATTTTGAATAGGTAACAAAATGAAAATAAAGGGAAACAAGATATATTTAGGAAAATAATGGTTAGTCTAAGTAAATTACAATATTATTACTATTAATATTGATGCTAACACTAAACAATTGAATATACATAAATACAAACAAGTATGGGGCTGAAGTGGTTCTTTTTTTCCTACAAACAAAAATCACTATTGTTATAATTAAGATCAAGTAAAATAACATATGGACAAGGAATTTTGTACCGACCCCTATCTTTCTCTTCCTTTCAATCTTATAACCAATCTGAACAACTGCCAACGGAGATGCTTTAAGTATCGAAATTTTGAACAATGAGAACAGTAAAGGCGGTAGAAACAGGAAAAAAAGAAATACCTTAAACATTCACAATAAAGTTTCATATACACAGAGATTAAATAGATAGATGGATATAAGCTGATAATTCGATAAGGCACGAAAATAACAATTCTAATCATAACTATTATTCACATTATAGACATGTACAAAACTTAGAGCAAAAAGATAAATAGTGTAAATTATAATAGCGACAAGTTTGTGGAATCGTTAACAATATGGTATATTTTATTGATTTTATACAAGATGTAAGCACTAAAATGTACAATAAATAAATATACCTATTGAAGCAGAAATAACAATCAGCATTTATTCAGATCAAAATGTTTAAATAAAATTGATTCAAAAGACTCATTGATAAATTAATGTGTAGCATTTACATTCAAATGTTGATATATATTCCTATAGATAAATAAAGATATTTCAACTGTCATAATAAAAAGAAAAATTACGAAGGATAAGGGGAAGAGAGAAGAATAACGTGAAACAACTAATTCAAGCCAAAATAATATAGAGTTGTTATTTGTAATGTAACTATAAAAATAAAAACATATTACGAATGTACTCTCGAACGACAAATACGCATAAAGAGAAACCGAGAAAGAGAGAGCATCAGAATCACATGGATGTAAGTAAATAAACTCACTGAAAGACATCATTGGTTTGAACTCAATTAAATGTGAATTTGATTGGACATTAATAAGGTGACAACAACAAGCATAACAGAAAGAATAGGTCTCATCACTGTCATCATTACAACCTGTGCAATTAAGTACCTATTGACCAGTTTAAATTTAATGAAACAGGAAATGATAAAATCGATGAAAAATCTGTATTGGTTGTTGTCGTTGTTGTTGTATCCATTAATTCAGCAACACTTAAGCTGGGATTATTATTGAATGACGATGATGATGACGACGATGTCAATAAAATATCCGTTAGAAATTCTGTAGTTGGTTGTCGTATATGATTTTGTGAAGTCGACCCGAAATTTATCATTGAACATAAGTGAGATGATGATTTATCAGTACAATGTAGAAATCCGACACGTTTATCATTAGTATTAATATGATCAGTAGTAGTACTGAACACATTTGATGAACTACCTTTCTTGACAGATAAAATTCTATCTGCTGCATGAGATAAATTAGACCATAATAACGGATGGAATTGAGGATTCATTTCATTTCCATGATTACTGAACATAATAGTAGAAGCAGTAGTGGGAGTTAATGAATTGGATGACGGGATAAATGTTTGGGAATTAAAAGTTGGATAATGTAGAAAATTATTAGATTGTAAATTAGATGGCGATGAACGAGGCTAAAATAATCAAAAAAACAAACGGAATTAATAAATAAAAGTTAGAAAGTACGCAAGACACAAATGAACAAACAAATGATAATAAAAATAAAGTCAGAACAAACATGGATGCAAAATAATATGAATTCATTATATTTCGTGGTTTCTCATCAGCTGCTTATAACCAGATATATGTTAAAATTTTACATTGAGGTAAGATATCTTGTGAATCAATTGACATAAGTGAATGAAAAGAATTAGAATGACAAAGGTTGTCAATAATAACTATATATATATATATATATATATATATATATATATATATGCAAGAATAGGTCGGCGGTCATTTGGTGTTAGAATAAAAAAATATGAGGGGTGAGTGATGTAATAATTGATAGTCTAAATGCTTTCGACAAATTCATGATCTCGTTTAATATCTCATCACTCTTCAGAAAGATCCCTTTGGAAGAAACGAAAGTATAATATGTGAATATCCTAACCTGTCTTTACCAATCCACGAATTCAAAAAGCTCCTGTTTCTGTGTACCAAAAATATACAATTTCAATTTATCAGTGTGTTGTACCGCCAAATTGATGGAGTAGCTATTTGAGTCCAATTCTGGCCGACATATTTATGGGAAACCTGAAACACAGGAAGCTCAAGAAAGCAAACGATGGAACTATACTGTAGTGTAAAATGTGGTCGATAGACGAACCCACCAATAATAAAGTGAAACGCCCACCACCACATTAACTCCTTTTGACCTTGTGCGACTGTATCTCTTTATTAACCAATCACAGTTTGATGTTCATCGTAAAACAATATTTGCTTTAATTCACTTGATATTGTTTTACTTGAATCTTCCCATTGATGTTTTAGGACTGAAATTGATCAGTCTGTTATTGATATATGTGCATACTGTACGTATGCCTCGATATTGCCTTAATTTACAAGCATTATGCTAGCCACTATCCATCTTTGCTTATAATATTTGCTTTGTTGACTCATTTTTACTATTCTCTGGCTACTGTTCGGTATGTTATTTGTCTCTGTTTTTCCCTATATTAATAGACCGTACTGTTTGTTTGTACACTAACGATGTTAATTTATGTTTTAGAAAGAGATAAAGTTTATCTAGCCAAATAGCTTGCTTGTTCGGACTTTGGCCAAACCAAGACTCTGTATTCAACGGTCTAGGGAATAGCTCAGAATCAAACCTGTAGGAAATTGCTTCCTAAATGTAGATATATTGATGACACATTTCTCGTCTGCAACAATCAAAAGCATTCCATGAACTTACTCCATCTGTTTAGCGAAGCACACAAGGACATAGATCTTACTATAGAACACGAAGTATAAGGTATATTCCATCTTTTAGATATTGGAATCAGACGAACCTCAGACGGTACATTACAAAGACACATTCACCGCAAAAATACCTGGAGTGGTGTTTATCTCAATTACAACAGTTCCTGTCCAATGAGATACAAAAAGTGTATTGTACGAACCCTTTTTGACCGCGCACGCAAAATTTGCTAAAAGGAATGCCTGGAAGATGGAATTTCTCTCATTACAAATTGCATATGTGAAAATCCATATCCGGCGAAGTTCATTCAAAAATATGCCAAAACCAAACCTCGGACTAAATACGATACAGTTGAAAATAACTTGCTTCTTATACTTGCGCTTCAAAGGAGATGAAATCACTGGAATAATTAATCACAAGCTAAATTCCGCGTTGAAAGCGGTTTACACATCAACAAAATTGACGATGCTATGGGAAACGAACTGCTCGTTCAAATAAACTAAAATTGAGAGGTCCTCTTTTCTCGGCAGTTCCAACTGCATTTACCAATTTACATGTACATGCCAAAGAACATACATTGGATGAACTGAGAGAAGAGTATATGTTCGCACTTCCGAGCATATTCCAAAGAAATTGAAACTGAGAGGAGGAAGGGTTCTCAGTAGTACAATTAGCTCGGCATCTACTTGACACAGGGCATTGACATTCTTCAAGCTTTCAAAATTATTAGCGGACAAAGAAACACAGTTTCTCTTCGGTTTGCCGAAGCAATTGCGATACGATCTATGTATCCAAAAAGAGATAGTAATAAACTTATTACTACCCTGATAATTCATTTTTTGGTCGTTAGTTTTATTTTGTTATATCGCTCTTCCATTACCGAATTCTTACTTTATGTACATTAAAACCATCCCTTCACTCATATACTTCCATTAACTCAATTTTCTTAAATTATGTATTCTTCAAATTCTGTTCAATTATTACGCAACCCATCCTAAGAGTTTTTTTAATTCCAGGAATCTTGTGTAAACCCTTCATTACCTCTAAAATTATCACAAAATTTACCTTATCTGACTCTGAAGTTCACTCAATTATTACATTACTCACCCCTCATATTTTTTTATTCTAACACCAAATGACCGCCGACCTATTCTTGCATATATATATATATATATATATATATATATATATATATATATATATATATATATATATAGTTATTATTGACAACCTTTGTCATTCTAATTCTTTTCATTCACTTATGTCAATTGATTCACAAGATATCTTACCTCAATGTAAAATTTTAACATATATCTGGTTATAAGCAGCTGATGAGAAACCACGAAATATAATGAATTCATCCACCTGAGCTACAAATCTCCACCATCGATGAATTCATATTATTTTGCATCCATGTTTGTTCGGGCTTTGTTTAAATTCATAAAGGGATCTAATTGCATAAATGATAATATATGAAAAAATAATATAAATAGATGATTATCAGCTAGTAATGTAATTAAACTCCTCCTAGAGCACTTTTAGAATTATTGCCGACCCCAAGGAGGAAAGTTCTTTATGGCATTAAGAACTCCATCTTGTAAAACAGGAGATCACCAAAAATATGCTAACCAGAATAAACTAATGATCCCATCTAGACTCTGATCTGGGTGTTCAAGGTTCTTCATATGGAAGAGTTATAACGCCTTATGATGAAAGCTGATATTCTTTGGAAATCACGAGGACCATGTCTATTCTGACAATCAGAACAACAATCAATAGAGATACATGGAATGTTCTCAAAATGTGTTGGACCAGGAAGACCATTGAAGTAGAAATGGAAATGAGAAAATACAATATTGCTCTGCTTGGAATACATGAAACTCATTGGACACAAAATAATAAATTCGGGAGACGCTCTGTCTTATTCTGATTATGAAGAAAGTACCTCACACATACAAAAGATTGCACCGATTCGCTCCAAAAAAAAAGCACGAAAAGTGCTCAGGGCTGGGAATCTCATATATCCAGGACTATCAAAATATTCTCTAAAACAAATATTTGAGAAGTTACAATGAATGCCACTAATGATGGCAGCGCAGACGAAGATCAGTTCGTGAGAGGCTGGTGTCCATCGCAAAGAGATGTCCAAGAAGAGATCTGATCACGCCAGTGGGGAATCTATACGTCAAGGTCGTGATGGATAACATCGGGGTAAGAAGATATCATAGGGTAATGTGAACTAGGGAAAAGGAACGAGAATGATGAGAGAATGATAAATCTATGTGCTTTCAACAACATGGTTATAGGTGGAACCGCTTCCCCCACAAACGCATGCACGAAGCTAAATGAGTTCCACCGGACCACACTAAAGAAAAATAGATCAACCCCATTTGCACTAATAAAACGTCTAGAAGGTTCATGGTCCATGGAAGACGTAATAACAAATATAAAAGTTGATAAAGCTGGTGGTGACTAAGCTAAAACTAAAGCAAACTAACTGTTGTACAGTTAGACAAACAGCATCACAAAAGTTAGTAAAAAAATCTTTCCCTCGAACTGTTAACAAGATCAGTGAATTGAACGTAGCTCCCAGCAACCCTTTCCAAGTCTTACAAAATCTACTGGAACAGGGGAGCACAATGAGGACCAAATAGAAGGGGATAATGGAGGAATAAATACAACATGCCAGGTGCTGATACCCATGAATCACCAGCGGAAACTACAGATCTCTGTAGACAGTCTGTACAAGATTCGAGAAAAAAACAAAGAAGGGAAACCAATCACTGAGATTCAAAAGTAGTAGAACAGGTAATTGGAACACTTTAAAGAACTCTTGAATAAACCAGCTCCATTATACACAATGAACATCGAAGCAGCACACACAAACCACCCTATAAGTGTTACCAAACTGATGATGGAAGAAATCAGCAGGTCATCAAACAAGACAAGAATGCTAAAGCAGCAGGTCCACACAGCATACCAGTTGAGGCACTGGACTCAGAGATGGAGGCAACTGCAAAGATGTTCCATATTCTCTTTAGAAAGATTTACGAGGAAGAACAAATACCGACAAAATGGAAACAAAGATACCTCATCAAGACACCGAGGACACGAAATCTTAGTAAGAGAACAACAGAGGTATAGCACCACTGTTAGTGCCAGGTGAAGCTATCAATGTTTTTGTTAAACCAAATGAAAACTTCGGGAACGACTAGCTGGATAGATGATTTGCCAAACAAATCACAACAATCCAAATCATTGTTGATCAATGGGATGAAACTCACCTCTATTCATCAACTTTCTCAACTGTTGGGAAATATTCGACAGGATGCATAGCGAAAAGTGATGAAACTCCCTCGACAATGTGGAGTGCCTAAGAGGATCGTCACCATCATACGGAACTCGTACAAGAAACTGAATTGCATGGCAATTAATGGAGGAAAGCTCACAAATGAATCTCAAGTGAATTTTGGTATCAGACAAGGCTGTCTACTCTCTCCCTATTCTTAAAAGAAAAGAACATATGCAAACCAAATGAACTATCACCCAACACCAAAGTCGAAATATTCAACACAAATGTTGGGACAGTTCTATTAAAACTTAAAGAACTTTAGTAAACGAGAATTCAGGTGGGGCAAACCAATTTCTTATTACATGCAAAATTACACAGTACTCTCGTAAAATATGAAAATCGTATATTAAATACACTATTTGCACATATTCCTTGAGTTGTCCTGTACATACTTCTTCATTCTTTGAATTCGGTTGTCATTCCAATTCCTCTATTTCGCTTTCTGCTCTCTCCAATTCAATCTTCTGCTGACATGCATTCCACTTCCGACTGGTGTTACATATTACTTATACCTATACCACAAAACTACCACCAACATCATTGAAAAAGTACAGATACTTATAAACAGCTATCTAAGCACAATACTCGAGATCAATCAACCAGAGACCATCAGAAATAATCTACTGCGGTAGAGAGCACACCAGCCACCAGTTGAGAAGAAAATTACAAAAAGATACTGTAAAAGGATAGGATACATTTTGTGGAAAACTCTATCATAAGGCAACTCCTAACTTGGAATTCTCAAGGAAGAGGGAGAAGAGGCATATCAAAGTATACATATCTAAAACTCCGAATAATTAAGCACGTTTATTCTCTACATAAAGACACTGATCTCATTACCAGGAGCTTTTTCAACTCAATTATTCTTCAAATATCATTCCAAGGTTGATAACCAAACAAGGAGAGTGGAAATTTTAATCAAAATCTATAATGATTAAAATGATACTAGGTACGATTTAGTAGCATGTTTAAAAAAGACTATCATCTCAAATGTTTACAACGTTCAACTAGTTAACGATGTACTCAACAACAACGAAACTACACAAAAAAAGAGGGAATACATTACTATAAAATTCACACAACAATTACACCTTACGTTAATAACAGGTATTCTTCCTAAACTATCCGATAACTGAACGGGCAATTGATCTCTGTCCATTGATGGATAATTGATATTCGATTGAACAGTAGTAGTCGGAGAAACAGTACTACAAGCTATTGATCTCATCAAGGCAGCAGGAGGAGAAGCGGGAATAGGAGATGGAGTAGTATTAGCAGTAGAAGTGGTGGTAGTAGTAGTAGTAGTAGTCGTGGACGTAATAACGGGAGAGGAAGAAATAAAAGAACAAGACAATGAAGTAGTGTTATTCTCACTACTTTTATAGTTATCAGTTGTATTTCTAACTGTATGATATGATGCATCTGTAAAATTCATTGCATTATTATTACCTGTTATAGGCATATTTATAATAAAACAGTAACACGATAAGAGAACAAATTATACAATCAACAATCGACATAGTTATTTAAACACAGTTGATTTTTATTATGAAGTATCACGAAAAATTTAACAATCTCTCCTTTTCTTAACCATCTCAAAAGTCATGGGAACTATATTCCATACTTAAAGTACGAAAACTTTGTTTGTTAAAGTGTTTCTCAAGACAGCCTTATTAATTAAATACTGTCTTTCATAACACCGAAAAACGCTCATGCACACTCGCATTCCAAAGGGCATGATTAATCCTATAAACAACAGTTGAACATCTATGGAATAAATTGGTGAAACTTTAGAGATGAAAATCATAAGTCCTCAAAAGACCTTTTAAATATGACCGTTTTACAACCGAAAAAATTGGCTAACATATCACTGTCAAACTATATTGCTCTTACTTTAACGCTGTTTAAAACGTCCTCTTTTCAGTTTGCTAATGTTTTGAAATTCTGTATTTTATCGTCTTACGTGAAAACACATAGTTGTAAACATAATCAAACAAGCCAACCCTTCCTTTTGGATTAGACAGAGTTCAGAAAATAAGACAAATAGGGCATTTTCCCAGTTTATTATTCATGATGATCGATACTACTGAGAGTATATATAGTTATGCTTTAAATAGTTAACTGAATATCAGCGATTGTAATTTGTTTCATTCTATGATTGATTTCTATCAACATACTTCTTCCCACCTATCTAGTTCTAACCAATTAGCAGATGGATTAATTGAATTGCAACTTCTGTTCTTACATAAATATAGCGTGTTACCTCCCTTTTCATGACAAAAATGGCAAACTACTGGTAAAAAACGGCATGTTTCAGGACCTGACAATCTATACAACTTGTTGACCTAACGCATTTCAAACTTCAATAATATGATGAAGTAGTTTCGAAAACGAAAAGATTACACACACGAAAAAAATAATAAATAGGCAAACACTGAACAACAAATCATACTTTGAACTGAGTAAAAATTTGATAAATCATTTGGATTTGTAATGGATATATCATGGTGGTTATTATTGTACATAGGTGCGTTAGACGAATCAACATTAGCAGAACCAGTAGTGGTGACGGTATTAGTAGTTAGCATTGATTGCCCAGAAGTATCTTCCACAACACTATTCCATAATTCAAAAAGTATATCTGTAGTCATTGGTGAAGGGAGTTGTTCCAGTGGATTACTAACAAGAAGAAAGATAGTAAATAGATATAATTAAGTCCAGATATTTAGTAATTCGTAATTTCTGACTAAACGCTAAGCGAGAATATACATTCTTGGTAAAAAGAATTGATGACGAATGTCCCTTCCCTCCAATAAACAATTTGTCTTCATTGTTCATTCTTCGGATTTTATAATATTAGAATAGAGATTATGTTGACTTATTACATAAATCAATTTTAAAATACCTCAATTAATCTGATTATAGACTCTGATATATTTTCTGTGTAGGACAATGTAATCCATCCGTTTGTTCTTCCAGATGAGTTCGTGATTGATAATGAGTTTGATAAGTACATTAGGATATATTTGTATATACAGTCAGACTTCCGGTAAGGTCGCATATTCAAAGCTAATAGAATCCAACACTATTAGAATCTATTCCTGAGTTATAAACCGTTTCTTACCATCCCAGCCTCGAATCTGAAAGACAAAAATATCAATAATCCTCCCACAGATCAGGCGTAATTTACCTTTATTAATTCGAGAAGGCTTCGTACATAACCAGTTTTGTAGCTCACGATTTAATCAGGGTAGGTTGGCTTTCGATCCCATTCAGTTTCTAGTTTCATGTGTTAGTTCTGGTGATCAACATATCTCGAAATAAAATTCGTAGTTTGACTTGTTTTCTAATGTAAATTTGGTGTCTAAGTGGTGTTTATCGAATAAATCATGGATGCTTTTCAACCATAGTTTACATCGATTACATAATATTCAAAAGTACACCGATACACATTAACACGATGATCCTTTATACAGATTACATCAATTCACATGCCGATATGATGAAAGTTCTAGTTGTATTTGCAAGTAATACTAATTAACATGAGGATATGAAATGAACAAGCCTTAACTTCTCCTTTAAGAAACGGGACAACAAAAATATTGGCTTAAATACTCGTTGATTTTAAACAGCATCAACAGAGGATGTATTGTTTCACAGACTTATTTGTCAAAAAAAAACATTACAAAGATAAAAATTATGGGAACATGTACAACAACAAAAGAAATAATTCATTTGTTACTTACTCATATGCACAAGATTTCAAATGACCAGAAACAGGTGAATTTTGCAAGTCAGAACAAATCTGTTCATCATCATCTTCATCACAGTGATGATTCAATATATCATTATTGTTTAATGTTAATTGTTGTTCATGATTAAATAATTCATGACTACTACTATTATTATTACTATTAGTAGTAGTAATGTCCGTAAACTCAACACTTCCGTGATCATCAAATCTTGACTCAGGTGTCATAGGATAAGAATCAGAAAACATTTTTTCCGGTGTTTGTAATGTATTACACGTAGTATAATTCGTTGTATGACCACAACTCGATTGCTCAAATAAAAACGAACTAGAATTAGTTGACAAGATTGATTCTGTATTGGGTGAAGATAAACTATTTGTTAAAATTGAACCACCAAGTCGTCTTAAATAAGAATTTAATAAATTTCGTTCAATTTTGAAATCAGAACTGGACGAATCGTTTGATTCAAAACTGAAACGAAATGTAAAACAGGTACCAAATACTTAAGTTAGCGAGTCGAATTGTAAATGAACGAGTCTAGTAAATATTTTAGGCTAAACACCAGAACTAATCTTTATGTAGAATTTTCTCGACTCAGTTGAGCGCAAATTTAAGTTTTGAACGAAAGTAACTCTAGGTGATTATTACTGGGTTTCAGTTCATGAAGGTTTTGCATCATTTTATTTATTGTAGATCACCCACTATTTAGCAAAAAGATCGCCGACTTCAGTGGTGATCGAATACCTACCCGCAACACCGAACCCGATAACTTAAACGTATGCCAAACAATTGTAAATACCATCCTGTTTTGTGATTCATACTATGGAAAATACCGATTAGATGAGAGTTGTATAGTTGGTCAAATATTTTGAAGGGGGTTGAATGTAACTTTAATCTGTGGTCTAAAGTCAGGTATTTGGATAACATCCAAGTTAGTAAAAATGCATAGAATAAGGTATTTGGTTTGATTTTTAACAACGCACTATCATTTTGTAGATACTGATCCAGTATAGTTCACTAGTTCTAATTGGAATAACATTTACACAAAAATAATCCACTAGTATTTAATGATACACGATTCAAATACATAGAAAAAACACATAACATGGTGGCGACGACGATAAGATATGATGCATGATAATCCAATGGATAAAAATATTCATTGCTTATATTCAGTATACTCTAAGTGATTATTGCAGTCCAGTGCATATTTAAAAACTTTGAAGAATTGGTGAAAATAAGTAGTCGAACTTGTGAATTCATCTGTCAACTCACGAATACAATAAAATATTTGTTAGTTCGGCTTTAACACATCGTAGAGAATAAAAATGCGTGCTAGAATGAGCAATTTAGTTTAGAAAATAGACAACAGATAACTGGCATTCGTATATACTGATTTAAAGTCAAATGAATAAGTGATCTTACAGTTACATGTACCATAGAGATGGTCACTTTTAAATCCCAATTTTCACAATGATCAATAGTTTAGGTTATAATAGCTGTCTATCTACATGAATAACCATAACTGTAATTCCTATTGAACTGCTTTCAAATCTGACAGCTACGACGGCATATTTTTAAATTCATTTACTAATACTATTTTTCTTCTTCAATGGACTTCAAAAGCAATTCCTAGTTTGACCTCTTAATTACATACAGAATAGGAATAAATTCTCAATCCTAGAATTCTACATGATTAGCGTAACGTTGACATGGTGAAGCGCTTACTTAACTACTAAAAGGTTTTTAGTGTGTTAGTATACTATTACTTCTGGACGTGATCAATTTGTAAGATACTTCTCGTATTACGTCGAAATACTTTTCATTGGGTTCGCTTACCGTTATTTGTTCTAGTATATACACCACTAACGAAATATGATTTTTTTAATAAATATGAGAATTGAGTTACTAAGATTGTTAGTCGTTAAAGCAATTATTAAATAATCAATCGTGTTGTACTTAAGTGTCAATTGCCTTGAATTATTCTGACTCTGATTTCATACCTTTATTCAGCTACTGATGGTAGTAATGTGATTGAAGTTTCCGTCGAAGGGTACTTTCATGAATTATCTCATATTCTGTAAAAATAGGATGCAAACTACTGAACGACAATGAAGGACGTTTTGATTTTACATGAGTAACACCTTACATTATTTTATAATGCACACGAGAACAATACATGTTCATGGTGATCTACATTATCTTTTATGGACAATAACTGTCAACATATTTGATTCACAAACGACTGTCCTCCTTTGTCTCACACTCTTGGTAACCTTCAACAATCTTCAATGATCGTCAGTAATCTAAAGGTCGAGACCAAGATCTGAGAATTTTCAAGCAAGTGAAGAAACTAATCTTGTGATCAGTAGACCGAATTTCAACGACTGATACCTTTTCAAATTGCATCAGAGAACGGATTTGTTGTCTTCTGATATAGGGTGACTTACTGACATAAAGTTAAATAATTTTTTTCTAAAGATTGATCATGAGTGCATACCTCGTACAGATTTCGTGGACAAGGTGAATAAGCACCTTAATTAGTATTTATCGTACATTATTATAATCGTGAACAATAATTATTCCCAAATAAAATTTTAATTGACTTATGTGAAATACAAACTAATCAACTCTATCTATCTATTGTGTTTAGGACATATACATATGTATATATACATAGCAAAATTTACTAGTACAATCAATCTAAATATTTCTTTTAAAATATACAAAAAATTACCTAGAAATCCATTGATAGTTAAAAAGAGATAAAGAAAGCAAAATAGAGATAATCTGAATAATTTTAATGAGTACATATATGCAGCAAATGCAGTTAATTGTACAATGAATATTAATTAACTAGCTGAAACCCAATTTTAAAATATCAACAACCACTTTACAACAAAGAATACCATTTTAATCCCTAATGCACTGAAGGTTTACTAATAAAACTTTATGATTCAAAGTCACCAAATTATAAAGTTTAGAAATCCACCCTAAGAAATGCTTCGGTTTATTTAGCCATTAGTTGATTGTATCAAAAGATGTTTACTTGATAAATAATGATTTACATCAGTTAATTAAGAATTACTTATTAACCAAACCTATGAACTGTCCTTTTGCTGCATTCTGCTTTTATTCTCACTCTCTCTGATTTTGATAAGTAATAGTGCTTATATTCTGAAAACACAGATATTTCTATATCATTATTCATTATACTATCACGGCCAACGAGTTGTAGATTAAAATGTGTGCGACTGAATTATTAAAAAAAAAAAACACTTATGCATACATTTTGCTATTCGTAAAAAAAATTTTATTTCCTTCTGGTGGATATTGAAAGCTTAATTAATTAATGTCTGTCAGTGTATATATGGGCGCTTCATAAGCAAATGTCACGATTTTGTATGAATATAAAAAGTGTTTAGCATTACCATATACGATGTGTGTCTAACTCTAAGTGGCGATTCTAAAAACTAAATCTACATGCGATCCAGTGTTGATGTTCCATTGAGACTAGAATCTTTAGTAAAATATTATACCTATTGAATACGTTACAGTTATCTAGATCGAGTAATCTAGTGGATATGATTCTTTGACAACATCGGTAAAGAGGTACACTCAGCTAATAAATAATAAATACAACGAAACGTATATTCTTAATTTCATTATTAGCCCCCGAAAGCCCTGGTATGGCCGAAAGCATTTGGTGGGGGGAGTTAGCTCTCCCTCTCGAAATGCTCTCACATGGCCACATTTATTTATTTATTTGAACACATAAATATTGGTACAAGGGCGTACGAGATACATGTGCGCCACACAATCATAATGGGAATGGGAAGAGATAAAGAATGTAAGGTGAGTGTAAAAAAAAAAAGAACAATAACGACCACAAATTAGTGTATGGTGGTGAAATAATAATAATGGGGGAAACGGAAAGGTACAACCAGAAAGAACTATTTCAGTTAAAAAAGTTACGGTCACTTTTTATGAAGAAAGTTACAGCAGGATCACCACTGGCTTCTATTCTGGGCCATATCTGATAACGTCTCTAGCCACTGTGTTGCATCATCCGTTGGACCTCAGCCAGGGTGTCGAGAAGGACCAACAGAAGCCAGTCCTGTGTAGCTCTCTTTCATACCACTACACCATGTCATACACTGACCACCTCTCCGCTCTTTCCAACCAGTCCCAGCGTCCGCAAATAATGCACGACGTGGAATTCTCTGGGACGACATTCGTAGAACATGTCCAAGCCACCGAAGTCAGTGTTTCAAGATGGTGACACCAATTGAATTATCGTTTCTGTGCCCGAACACACGATTCCGAACTTCTGCATTACTAAAATGATGCTGCCACTGGATGTCAGCAATCCTTCGGAGACAACAATGATCACAAGCATAGAGCGAAACTGCTCTCACCGACGCGTTGTAGATCCGAACTTTTACAGCCAGACTAACGTCACGAAGGCGCCTAAGACGGCCCAGATTGGCATAAGCCGCTCTGGCTTTCGCTATACGTGCATTGAACTCATCACTCACGCCACCACCAGCACTTACGCAGCTACCTAGATACACATGCATACAGCCACTGTCAGGGAAGTCCTATTCACTGCCTTCTCGTGGCGGGGGTGTCATTTACGAAATTGAGAGGATGAAAAGAGAATGTCCGGCGTTTTAACCGGGTTGGTGTATACGGAGGATCCACCTAAGGGAGTTGGAAAACCCTGATTCCAAATCAATGGTGCACATGGGCTCCAGGATCCTGAGGAAACAAGTGGCGTATGAACCAATTATTGGTCACCAGCTACTATGGGACTGCAACTCCTTACGTTGCTCCACTGCCTTATGGATTAGACCTTCAGGTCGAAGGCTCCGGGTATGGCCTCCCAAGAAGACCACCTGTTTCGGTTTGGGGGCCAGGGTGGTATTCCAGCCCTCACACGAGTCGAATGATTTATGTGGCACATGCCTATTTGGTGCCTCCTTGTACCAATATATGTTTAAATGAATAAATAAATAAAATTTCCCAGGATTCAAATGAAAATCATCCACCCATTGATTTTATCAATCTACTACATGAAATCTTAACCATTTTTTAGTAACAATTTACTCTGGACAACTATGAATTAGTCACAAAAAACTGATACTTGTGATGATAAACTTTGAAAGTATACTTGATTGCATGTCTAAGAGTTAAGTGAGATGAACAAGTGTTAATTTCGTTAGTACTTAAGTAAACTACGAAATCCTTACGTTTTGATTGCTCACTTTTCAATTGACCTCCAATTATATTTATTTTTGTGTTCATTATTTCGTATGTATCCGGTGTTATTTGATTAGATAAACAAAAACGCTTATTATTTGGACTAGTTCCCTTGTCACTGATACCAGTTCCTTCAGAGGTGTGAGTCAATAACCCCATCTCTTGAGTAGTTACCACTCGACCAAATTTTATCACTGAATTTTATCAATTAATCAGCATATTACATTCACTAACCTAACAATCGTCAAATGTTTTCTTATTACAGTAAGTAAAAAATTTGAACAACTTACGTAAATTAAATGCTGAAACATCAGGTCAAGTTCATTATGTAGATAGATTATAAATAAAATGATGTTTAATGTATAACCTTCATATGTTTCGTTTTTAGTAAACCTGAATTTAATTGGAGTCCTTCATAAATATGATGTATAATAAATGTAATCTTTATTATTATTATTATTATTATTATTATTATTATTATTATTATTAAAGTACTTTTTGTTTATATAATGAGCTCTAATTATATGAGAATAACATTTGTATGAAACAATAAACGTCGTTGATCATATAAGTGAATAGATAAAACATATTGGAGGTACAGTATTGATATTTTACTCAAACGGGATCAAAAACATTTCGAGAATACAACACATGTCTATAAGAAGTTATATTCTCGCCTAACTCAAATTCCACCTTTCCATAACCTATATATATAGTCTAAAAATTACCTTGTCAACATGGAAATTACATTTTACCAATCACAAGTGCTTTCTCACATTTATACCAACAGTGAGTCATAATTATCTAAATGTCTGTCATATAAAAATGAAACTTTATAAATAAAAATTAAACATGTCAACGTCTTTATGATACATCTTATTTTAAGAAAAATACCTGTCTAATTAATTATAAACGGTGAAGTGTATCGATTCCCTTTTAATACTTTCACACGAAAAAATATACATATGAAAATATACCGACCTTGGAAATCAAACTTTCGATATATATATAATATATATATACCTAATGTTGGCAATGTATACATATAAATCGATCACACACTTAACGTATTATTCTTAATGATGTCAGGTTATAATAAATAATACTTTAGACAATTTTTTTGATAATTTATTTATTTAAACACATAAACATTGGTACAAGGAAGCACCAAACATATATGCGCTACACAAATCGTCCGGTTTGTGTGAGGGCTGGGATACTGCCCGGACACCCAAACTGAAACAGATTTTTGATAATGAATATATATAAAGTAACTAAGCAGTTAAGTACAAGTTTGAGTAAGCAATTCTGAACCACACTTTATAATATGTGAACATAATGACCAGTGCTAGATAAAATTAACCTATTTTGCACACTAGAGGATATGTAGTGGTTATTGAATCTCAGAAGCTCGTTTAATGATAAAATTTAATGAGTCTCAATCAGGAGTTGAACTCCCTTTCTGTTATAAATGACGTTTTTAAATAATTCATGAGATCAAATTGTCGATTGTCAGAATCAATGAACAGAATTCCTATCGTGAATACAATGATATATTTTTCCGAACGATAGTGGCTCAAATGAATGAATTCTTGATTTGAACCCTCGAATGATTAAGAATCAAAAACAAGACCACTAGCCAGATGAATGTGTTTTTTCACGTAATAAAATGACATGTTTATACATAAATTACTAACAGAAAAATAATATGATAAAATGTCATAGGCGAAAATTAACACAACTATATTTTCATATAATCTAACCGCTTATGTACCAAGTAGGAATTTATGTATTCAGCTTTGAACCACATCGTTTGTGTGAGGACTAGCGATATTTACCCAGTTACCCAAACCGAATTAGGTGATGTGGGACTTGACCCTGTGACATACCGGCCGAAAGTTGGATGTTTAGACCGCAGTCACTCCTCCAATGAACAGAATTATTTGGAGACGACAACACTTCGATTTTTAATAGACAATGCTGAATCCAACAGAAATAGAAGGATTTTAAAGTAAACAACAAGGATTTGAATAGAGTGGAAAATAAACGAAAAGTAATGGAATCCCTAAAATTCAGGAGATACATAATAAAAGTATCTATGTTATTCTGAGGCATTTCAGACCATATCACTTAACGTCTTCAACCACTGACTTATCATAAAGAGGAAGTAAATCTACACCTTCTTATACAAATATAACCCAGAAGTGAGTGAGTGACTTTACAAACTGATGTCAATTTTATAAGATTCCCAAACTTAACCTCAATCTTATTTCAGCATGTTGGATTTGCCAAGAATCTCTCATTCAATTTAATTATGATATTTAATTGAAACTACTGGTTTTAAGAGTATTCAGGAAGTCGATTGATTGAATGACTTTTTTAACCTCCAAAAATGCATCTTAGCAATTTTGTGTGTCATACGCTAACTAATAACAAGAATACAACAATAATACTATCTTTATTCAGCACTAGCACAGTAGGGAATCCTCAACACTAAATGACTTAACAAGTTCCTCCTCTGTCATATCCCTAATTATACCCTTAGCATGTAGTAGAAATCAAGAAAATCTATTCTTCTACAAGTTTTCTCAATAGTTTATACCCATATATCAATCGCGTCACTACCGAACGATGCGATAAATGATCAAGATTACGTATAATTCACAACATAGCGAAGTTGTTAGTCTATGAAGACTAACGATACCACCCAACTCACCCAAACTAGAATAGATTGGATGAGCCTAAACCATTGACTGAACGACTGGAAATTTCATGTTTATATCATATACCATTTGAGCTAAAACTATTCAGCAAAACTTAGGTTATCATCTGAGGTTTTTATTTGAGATTTATGATACTAGCCGCACAATGTCACTACATAAAAAGTGAAACTGAACACTAAAACACTTGAGACGGAAAATATCACCTTAAAGACAAACCTTAAAATGTCAACCATTCACAAACATTATGCAATACTTCTAGGTATAATGGAAAAAAACCCACTGAGTCACTGAATTTTTAGGTATATTTATTCGATATAAAAAACAAACAAGCATAACGGAAATACTAAGGTATTTGCATCACAAAAACTTGACAAAAAGTGTTGTGCAATGATTTAATAAACAATTGTTTATTCTCTTAGTGAAAACACTGCAGATTTAGTTCAGCAACTTTGTACAGATTTTGTGTACTGAACTACACACCGTGTACAATCCATAATACTCAACTGTCCAGAAAAAGTTGTAATTCATGTAACTCATTCAACAAGTACAGATTTATGTAGTCGGTTTTCAGCCACCACACTCTTTACACGTAATACTGCCTGACCAGTCAAACTAAAGTAATTAGAACAAATTTTGGACCTGTAATATATTAGTTGAAAATAGGATTGGAATTTGTTATATTTAAAAAGGTAAACAGCTAAATATTAATGGGTCACATTTCCAGTAATTTTGTATGGTGAAACGCAATTTACAAACAATTAAGTGAAAACTTACAATCTAGTACCATTTGCACTTATTTCATCCAACGTATCTAAACGTTCAATAATGAGCAGACGACAAAGTACTGCTAGACGATTGTGTTCTTGTTGTAAATATTCTAAATTTGCTGGAGCTGACAAAGTTTCAGACTCATTTAAACTATATTGTGAAATTTTCGTCTAAAATATTTTAGAAATAAAAACAAAAAAGCATTAAGGCAAGTGAGTGTTTAATGTGCAATAATTATTGCAAACACAATCAGTGAAAATCATTGGAAAAAAATCTGAAAATACATCCTTACACGACAGAAACAAGAAACACTTAAACCATCCAAATGTTAAGTAAACAAATTGAAAATAAATCACGTTAGGAAATCTCCTACAGTCGAGAACTGAAGGCCTTTGAGTTCAATTTTGTGTGAAGTCATGGGTGCGTAACTCAGTCAGACATTCATTATCATGAGTGTGCATCAATCTAAGTTATCATACATCATATCAGTAAAACGAGAGGAAATCAACAGGAGGAAAAACATAAGAAGGAAAACAGAATCAAGAAAAATAAAAATCTAAACATGAGAAATTCAGTTAAAAAGAAACAAATGAAATCCAAAATGGGAAGCCAGGATGACAGTAAACTCAAGATTTAGAGAAACATATAAACTAATTGCGGTTGTACTATTGTAAACAATTTTGTGCTATATCACTTGATTTTTTCAAGCATTGACTGTAACTAATGCGAGAGACCTAAGCAGGAAGTTTGATATTGTTCAGATCAGCAACAAATGATTTCATAAATTGATGTTATATCTTGATTCGTTCACTCTTAGTTTATTCTGACCAACTCTCAGGCCACTTAACATTGTACTTCTAGATAAGTGTGGCTGGGCGTGTTTTTTAGTGTCCACTACTGTCCTATGCTGAACTATAACGACAGATCTATTTGTTGGTCACTGGTTTCCAATGATTCTTTGGATGATATCAGTTCCTGATAATGAATTATCTTTGAAGTGCGTAAAAGTCTTGAGGAAAGTACTTAAAAATAAATACAAGCTGGTGTCTTAATTTAGATACATGACCTAATTTATTCATTAAATGCAATGAATATACATGTTGATTGATGAATCAGTTAAAAATGTACTATACTATCAATCATTTTCATACATAAAACACTGATCAGTAAATATAATCAGAAAAACTCCAACACCGTTGTTCGTACGTAAGAAGTAAATCTGTTAATTCTTTTTTTGAAAATAGAACAGCGGTTTCTTTTTAAACTATATCATAGACAAAGTTATTGTTACCTTTACTTCTGCGCTATACATTTTGTTAACTTCTCCTCTCATATTATGCTGATGTGTGATGTGACAACTCGGATAGATGCATATCTACGCCAAGTTCGATGTTACTATTTATAGATGATTGAGTTTCAGAAATTATCTCCTAACTGGTGAAAGGAAAACTTCAAAAGTAATTTTAAAATATATTTTTATCTAAATTAGATAAAACTGTGATGAATGATTTCTCAATCACATATGAATAATGAACGTTCGGAAAACTTCGAAAGCATTGACGATGCTAAATTGCTTATGAGAATTTATACATAGGTAATTTTTCGGGTGAAAGTAACTGTTTCCTGATTAATCAATAAAGCCTTTTTATGGAATGTTGAATGTTCAACAACAATCTACCTAAATGATTCAAATTATATATGTGAATTCCTAGTTTTAATTTGTTTTGCTCCCATTTCCTAATATTATTTGTCCTCACTGAGTTCTACATCTCCTTGACTGGTCGACATGTGAAATACATAAAACTTCGAAAGCCTTAACCCATCTTTTCTTTGATATAAGTTAACAATCTCATTGAAATGATGAACCCATCAAACTTAGACTACTTATTAGAACGGTTGACGATTTCGATGATATTCAACAATCTCCGCAACCCCATACTGAAAATTACCAAGTTTTGTTAATTCGTATTCTAATGGATATCTATGGCTGAGGGACCTGGAACTGAACGACCAAAGAAGCATCACCAGAATATGACCAAATAAATGTGTTTCCTGGTCCTTAGACTGTATACCTGTTGGGGTAATCCAGAAAACTTCCCACAAAAGACAAAAAAGGCTCAGGAAACACTAAGAAGCACTTTATCCAATCAGCGTCCAGTAGTTTAGCCAGAAACATCAAGAAAGTGAAAAGTCACATGTAGAGTCACTGATTGGCTGATTACTATAATGCTACTATGTTTAGTAGCATTCCAGAGTTTCGGGGAAACCAAGGACATCTAAAATACTATAAAACCCTATATTTTCTGCACTAAAATGAACCTTTGGAGTAAAGCGCTTCTCACATACTTTGCGCCTTTTCTCTCATGTTCAGGCCGCTGTGTAGTTTTAGCTTGGGGGTTACGAGAATAGTTCAGGAACCGAATATAGCGTTCAATTAGCAAGACTTATCAATACTAACAACCTAGTCTTCTAGGCATTATTCCGTTTTATGAATTCCATTTTGAATGTCACCCCAACGCTTAACTCACTCATTAAAAAGTATGTCCGCACTCTGAATAATTAATAAATTTAAAAATACTACTGGCAACTCTACCAATAAAGCTAGATGGGTGTGATTCTGAAGGCCATAGGTAAACATCTCAATCAAACTTATTTGACGATTGAAATGTCTCTGCCGTTCATGTTGAAATATTTACAGTTGACTGACCATCGAGTAGTGATCAATGTCATATATTTCAACCCCTTCTTAGTGCTAATCGGTCAAATTGCAGTGCAGCCACTAGTCGAACCGACTCAACATCGCATGCATTATGTTCAGCTGTGAGGTAATGTTTAAAGGTAGTTGATACATGATCGAATCCGTCAGGGAGCATTATTTCATCCAAGATAACATGTACAGTTTTTTTATGAGTGCCAAAAAGCACGAAGACTGGGTTTAGGGTTCCCTATCGACTAGCTCCAACCACCACCTTACATGTTGAAATATTCAACTCAGTTGGCTGTTCGATATTGACGACCTGAGTTCTTTTTTTTTAATCTCCACTGTTGCATTCCTTCCTGCCTATAATTCTCTAGCCAACCTGTCTTAATTCAGGTCGGTAGAATTCAGGACAAAAATAAACTTAAATAAAACACATATTTCGAAACAGCATAGAAGTATATATACAAGATTAAGTAAGATACTTCTAGTATTTATTTCGCAAGGCTATTTGATAAGAGAAACTCATCATCTTTTAGAAACATCTGAGAGTATCACATGGTGGGAAAGCTATGAATCAGTTTGTCTGGATTATCTTTCCACTGAACGTGAGAAGCTGCTGAATCAGAAGCTGATCATACTAACAATAATCGGTCCAACTAATACTCGATTCACAATCATCGAAGTTAATGATTCAGTTATCTACCCATCTGTTTTAAACTGAAAAGTTGTAAAATATCAAAACAGCATATTACATGATTTTGTACATTGACTAATGACTTATATTATCATTTATCATGCTCATTACTAGTGACTGATCTAAAACAGAGAGGGAAATCGCAGTCTATATTAATCAACTAAAAACCTACTCTATAATACAACCTCCATATCATAAATCTCACTACTTTAAGGCTATTTAGTACAATTCATTAATATAAATATCATCGATACAATGAAAATATTATTCGACTCCATCCAGAACAACTATTTTACGATATGGATCAAAATTATTATTAATCATCTCATTGTATGTAGTATATAACAAGGACCTAATAACAAGGGATTAGGTTTATTGTTGAGGCGATATCGTTGAAAGAATGCTTTCTCTTTCCAATAGGTCAATAAGTTCATTTACCTTACCTAAAAACCCAAATATATATATATATATATATATATATATATATATATATATATATGCATCGATAGACAAATTAGTAGAAAGAGGGAAAAAAGAACAGAGTTAAGTACTTGCATTTCGAACATTACCTGTTCAATATTACGTCTTAATTGACGAATCCTTAACCACATCTCTTCAATTTGATGAAGTGTTGTCGATGGTGTTGAAAAACCAGTACAACCACCGCCGCCACCTTCACTACCAGTAGGATTTGATGTTGCTACTGGTGAGTATACGGAAAATGATTGATTGTCAAGTGAGTTATTTACAGAAGTATGGTGCATCGTCTGTGATTCACTGTATGGTGATGATACGCTATTATCTATAGATAAGGGTAATGGGAGACGTTGATTTGAAGTGATAATATAACCAGATTCCGATGACGGAATACTAGTTAATGGATGATGATGTAAAAGATTTCCATTGGATGATGTTTGATTGTCTGAAAGAACATTTGGAGTCATGCATACAAATGATTGTTTCGATGTAGGTTGAACAAACTGTAATTCATATGTTGAGACAGGAATTTGTGAAATTTGGTCTGTTTCACTCATTGTATTATCATTAACGAAAGTAACCGGTATTAGAGTTGTCGAAGATATATTACCTTGTGTAGAAGGAATTTGAAAATGATTTGTGTGTCCTATCATAGAATAAGGAAAACATTTTTAAAAGATAATAAAAGCACGGTTACACTGTAAGAAAAAAAAATCCATTGTGGATAAAAAACGAATAAAACTATTTTAGGGTTAAACAAAAACCATACATCAACTAATATGGGACAAAAGCCATCAAAAAGTAAATTTCAGTTCGAGTTTTTCCACACAATAATTACAGACGATTAAACTTTACTGAATAACCAAATCCATGAATATGTCTGGTTAAGTTCATTCTGCCAACAGAAATACTTTTGAAACTAATACGTACATCAAGAAAAAACTGGCTGGAATAAAAATGTCTCAATAATTTCCGCGATGAAGATAATTTATCATAATAAGAACGAAACTATGGATATTCAGAAACGGCTTTGTCTACCAGAATCGCAGAATTCCCTATTTTTTAAGAAGTTATGATAGTCCAAGAGTGCTATATCACTTTATGATGAATCCGTTGACTTAAGATAATTTTTAAGAATCTACGAACTATGGGTAAAAATTATTGAGACATACTGACTATCCAAGATATCTTCTGCCGTCAAATCACATAAATTATGCAAAACCTGAGAGAAATTGACTCCACCATTAGATTTCATTTAGATGTTCGAAATATATAGTGGAATATTCATATAAAAAAGCACCAGGACCCTTAGTCCTAATTTCATAGATCTACGTGAAAGATGATACTAATAAAATGGATTCCTGACACGACGCCAGAAAGTCAGGCCCAACAATTGGATCTTAATTGATCGGAGAATGAGTGACCTATGACTTGATTTCCTTCAATCGCCTATGACATTTTATCATATTTTTCTGCTAATAATTTATATATAAGCATGTTATTTCAATACATGAAAAACTTATTCGCCCGGCCAGTGGTCTTATTTATGATTTTAAATCATCTGAGGGTTTAAGTCAACAATTTGTTCTCGTAAGTTGATATTACTCAGCCACATCATATCATTGCATTCATCTATCGATTGGCATTCCATTCATTATTTTTAGATAATTATTTCATGATGTATTTGTGACTCAAACACATTTAAGTGAAGGACCTTATAGGGAAAGAATCTATCCCAAGGTGAAAAATCTAAAAGTGATCATGTCGTTAGCATTAAACAAACATATTTGGTAATTAATATACTGAAATCGTGTTTAACTCAGATTCCCACTCACAATTATTGATATGTCGTGGGATTAGATGGACCATATTGTAAACCGACTTAACTACTCTTCTGCAACAACTCAATCGTCTTATATTCCTTGTAAACGTTCTTACATACAAAAACAGAATCCCGTAATAAAACTCTTGAAATCTAACAAAGTTATAAAGTTAAATGGTGAAGAAATGGGATTTGTCATATAGGAGAGGATATGTGCCTATATGTATCATTTTCCTTCTACAAGTCAATATTTTACACATACAAACCGTTAACTGAAATTTCCTTGGTGTTCAAGCTACTAAATGACCATATACTTCATCCTAAACAATACACAGGTACAGGTCAACAGAAAACAAGATAGATTTCATTCTGGTTTTAAAAACAAGTCACATCACGGTCCATCGATTCTTTTGTTCCTAGATATTAATTTATAATTTGCTAAATGGTGCCACTTTCTGGAAATTCATTCTACGCAAATCTGCTCGAAAAAAGTGAGTCAGAGTTCTGAAAACGCTATACGATTAAACGCTATTGGTTGGTCGACTTCAAATTAAACACAACGCTACAGATACATTCATATTTCTTTACTGAAGCCAATGAACATCTTAATCGATATTTATCCCCTCTCATAGAATTGTTTTCTGTTGCATTATTTCTTGGTTTCTTGTTATTGATAGTATTGATACCAATAGTTACTTTTATTGTCAATTTACTTTAATTGTGTCGATAACGAAATGTGAATAACTCGGACCTGTAAATTGCTGCATTACAATAAATCTTGTTTGTTTTTCTACCTTATAAATACTAGCAGGCTTTATAAACAGGAACTTGTCTGAAATACGGTTATTTAGTCTTATCTCTTCTTGTTTAAGACTATTAATGATATTTTAGAAAAAACTCTTCAGAAAGCCAGTCTAGATGAAGTAAAGGTAATGTCTAAAGAAAAAATACGGAGACCCAAATTATGAGAAACACATTCTTTTATTGAGTGATAACTTATCAGTGATCCAGATTACGCTCAATCCACTGATGTTCAATGTGTACATCTGTGTTGCATATACTTGACAACATTGATATATAAAGTTTAAAAAGTTTGAAAATATCAAACTTCTAATATTCTCTATATAGATATATTACAAGTTAATGTCCTTACAGTTTAGCATTAGCGTTAATGCAATGGAGGATATGCAAATAATGAAACAAACTGACTCGAGCAATTAACTCCATGGGTTCGAATCCCATGTTTTCTAATAAATTTTAAGCAGTCGAGTAATAGTGTTAGCTCTCCTACTAAAATAAGCATGAGTTAAAGCTGATGCATGAACATAGAAATTAGTACTAAATCGCATCACGTTAGTGAAACGGTTTCATGTTCACAAAGACTAGATATAGGGTATAAAATATCACGAAGTTATTATAATTCCTAAAGTATTCTGGATAGTAATTTTGGTACATTACAAATAACCTTCAGATTTTTTACTCTACAGTGGGAAAAGTAAACCCACCTGAGGACGAGTTAGACGAAACTTCCGGAAAGAATGGTGCTGAAACAGAATGCCTTAATGAGACACAAGGTTGAGCAAATAACACATTGGAACCGTCTGGTCTCATAACAACATCAGAGTATACTTGTAGATCTTTTGGCATTGTAGATCCTGAAGAAAATACTGTAGTGCATAAATTCACAGGTTTAGTTTGGGATAGTAGTGATGAGTCAAAATCTTTTAAGTTGACATCCATATCCATCATAGGTTGCTCAGAATTCACCAAAAGTTTTTGATGTTGGTCCTGACGTTTTACGAAAGACTGTGTTTGATTTGCATTATGATAAAACTGAAGAGGTCCATTTATCCCCAATTCGATTTCTTCACTTTGTTTCATTACAGAATTAGGAAAATATTTTACCAATATTTCACGGCGATATGGATTTAACAGGCGCATTAGTTGCATTTTAGAACCAGCACGAGGTAAATTTCTGTCCTTGCATTCCCCTTTAAGTTGAGTGAGAGTAAGATGAGCAAGACTGGGTAAGTTAAAATTAGATTCCAACGGTAACGTCTTTGAAGAACCAGTCCGTTGGTTACTTAAACCAATCTGATTCTTAGAACAAACTATTGAGTTTGAAGGGTTTGGAGAGACTTGCAACGACATTGAACTGGAAGTGCAGGATAATGCTAGTTGACTATTCATTTGATTATTAAATGTGTTAGGAGTCAGATCCATGAAGGATGTGTCTTCATGTAGGGGCTTTTTACATGTACTTACGCGCTCACACAATTCTTGTTCGACTAGACGATGAGCACGTGCAGTATCTTGGAGACGCAACATTTCAACCTGTTGTAATTCCCGAACTCGTTGTTTTTGTTGAAAGGATGAGACATTAGCTAGGCTTGGAGAAGATGAACTCGATGAGTCTGGACAATACTGATGAAAAACCAATGAACCTAATTTTGAAACAACAGTGTCGTCTCGAATTGCCCGACTTGTGGATGTTTTATTCGAACTAATTAAACGACTTCTTCCAGAAACAACACGGCCGGAATTTGTACAGTGTGCCTTTGTAGTTGATGAAAGTGGCGGAGGTGGTGGGATAGTGATCAATTCTTGAATAGGTTGTAGTCGTTCACATGAAATCCTTTCCAATGAAACGGACTCGACCCTAGGATATTGGATAGAACCTTGTTTGATGAGTGAATCAACACCGGGATCAACCTACAGTTGGGGGAATATATTTAAAACAACCGATAACATAATAATAAGGAAAAGATACAACATACAATGTTAATATTTTATCAAATACCTAAAATAAATAACCTTATCTTTATGAATAATTATGTTTACCATACTTCTATAAGTACTTTAATTTGGGAAGCAGGGCACTTATTCACCCACAAACAGTTTGTACAACTAGTAACCCTATGAATGATTCTGAATTAGATTTGTAGAGCTAGGTGATAAGATTTATTTTCACCCATTAGAAAATCAGGTTTAGTGTTATTTAGGTATACGATATTTAAAGTCAAACTGGAGGTATCATTCGATTTAGCTCAACTTAGTTTGTATCTAGATGAATTTATTTACTAGTCGCTGAATATTAGTCTTTTTTACACAATTGAATTTACACATCAATTTATGCGTCTTTAAATCACATAAGTAATCAACCATAGTTGCGATCGGAAAAACTAGAACAGTGTTCACGGTGTAAGAAGAGATAAAAATGGATTGAACTTATCCTTAAGTTATATAGCGAAATGTACTGCGAACAGTAGACACTATAAAGTTAGGTATTATTCATTCATAAAAGATAATATCGGTGTTTTTTCAACAGTGTCATGTCACGTAAAAATAAATAACGAATATAATTAATACATTAAAATAATAGTAAAACGGCGTCGAGTACCTGAATTCATGTGAACAAATACAAAAATAATTCCTTATGAATACACTGATTTACCTGCAGAACTCCTTTCTCGACTAATTCCAATGAACCAGGTCTGGAAATAAGCTTCGCGGCTAATGTCTCCTTTAGCTGAGACTTTTCTAAATTGTAACATTGCTCAAGGACGAAAGGTGAAGTCCTCGGCTTATCGTCTAAAATCATAAATTATTACTGGAGAAAAATTACCCCTTAAGATATGATGGCTGATAAGATACTGTCTGTCCGGCCGTTGTCCAATTTTACGTTTCAATAAATCACTAGTCTAAGGAAACAAAAACGTATTAGAAAGATTGTAAACGAAACCTTAGCTTTTTGTAATTGGCGAACCTTATCAGGGTGTGAAATAGAAGCTATAATGAAAGAAATGTTAGATTAAAATTTGATATACGATTTAGTAATATCCCTTGATTGACTAACTCCTTTACAGAACGTCTGCACTTAAGGCTTTTCTCAAGTGCTTGAAAACATTAAGAGGTGTTAATAACAGTGATTGATTTACCTTCTTTGTTTTTAGTCCGATTTAGTTGCAAAGAAGAAACCTCGGTAGAAGCTTGTGGACTTCCTGATTTTCGATAAACTTGGTCTGTAGGCATAACTAAAAACATAAAAAATGGATTAGGACCAATAGAATCATAATTTTCGCGAAAAATAAGGACAATTTGGCCGTACTACTACTTCCAAATAATTCTTAGTGATAATTAAGATACCAATTCGCATCAAATAGATCTGTGACAACAGGTTTTATAAATAAATAACTGGTTACTTAGCGGTAACCCATGAAAATGATTTTTCTTCTCTATACCTAGTAAAACTAGGTAGCATAAACATTTAATGGGCTTTTAAGACGAGAAAGGTGAATTATTATCAAATATAGTGAAAATAATTCTCAAAAGAATATATCCATCAGTATTCATAAATGTTTCAGACGCTTTAGTTTCTCGACAATAAATGCCATGTTCTGTAAGGAATAAAACTAATTCGAGTGGAACATCTTGAAGTTGATAACTAGTAGGAATGAAAATATAAAAGATATAGAGTATCTAGCTTTTCGTACCATATTCATGATAGCAAAACGTGATATCACAATCATAAAACATAATAAGATTTAGTTTGATCTTCCCACAACTGCGAGAACTACTTAAAATACTATCTGACAGTGAATTTCGGTTCAATATTTTCGAGTTTCCTAGAAAACTTTAATGGCAAAAATCAAAGGATACGAAGCAGTTTCTTTTACTATTTAAACAACGTAGCCAATTACGTGAATAGTGCCTCCAAATGCCCTGGTACGGCCGAGGGTGAGGAGAGTTAGCTCTCCCTCTCGAAATACAGCCACTGTCAGGGAAGTCCTATTCACTGCCTTCTCGCGGCGGGGGTGTCATTTACGAAATTGAGAGGATGAAAAGAGAATGTCCGGCGTTTTAACCGGGTTGGTGTATACGGAGGATCCACCTAAGGGAATTGGAAAACCCTGATTCCAAACCAATGGTGCACATGGGCTCCAGGATCCTGAGGAAACAAGTGGCGTATGAACCAATTATTGGTCACCAGCTACTATGGGACTGCAACTCCTTACGTTGCTCCACTGCCTTATGGATTAGACCTTCAGGTCGAAGGCTCCGGGTGTGGCCTCCCAAGAAGACCACCTGCTTCGGTTTGGGGGCCAGGGTGGTATTCCAGCCCTCACACGAGTCGAATGACTTAAGTGGTACATGTATATTTGGTGCCTCCTTGTACCAATGTCTACGTGTTTAAATAAATAAATAAACGTGAATAGCCACGATAAAATAGCTGGTAAGCAACTCTTACTGAGACTAATAATTAAGAATTATTAGAGAACAAACTGAAACATTGTAAAAATGCAAATCCAAAACAGGACTTCTGAACTATAAAATGTAACAAGATAGATTACTAACATGGTTTAGCAGTTTCGTTGAGTTTCTGAACTTTAGAGAACAGCGGTAGAACACTGAAATCTATCATAACATATTAAAAATCAATGCATTTATGAATTTTACTATCGTTTAATGAAGTAGAAAAGACTTTCACAAATTAAATCTATCGTTCAAAAGACAATCTTTTTAAATCTAGTTTAAGGGAGATATTGTTGGTGATATGCTGAAAAGCCGTTTGGAGGGAAAAATTAGGACGAAATTTAACATAGAGTACAAACCAATGTATTTCTCCTTTAATGTGCCCTCTTGTGAAAGATAAAGTACCGAAACTGATCAATTTAATGTGTGTGTACCAGTTCACTTGTTAAGTTTAGTAATTAAGTCGTTCGTCGAGGCTGCTTTTTTTGTTGCATTCTGAGGCATCTACCAGCATAGATCAAAACATGTGTACATAACTCAATTATATCATCGATTTTGAAGCATGTGTTAAACACAGGACATTTATCCTCCGATTCGTTCGACATCATTTACAAAATCCAGTTACAGATACCAAGAGAAGTATCGCTGAACGCAATTTATGATGCGAAAGCTTTGGCTATCCATCACTTAAAACCCAAGTTGTGCAGTTTTAGTCCGTTTATTTAACTAAGTCCCTTATTTTAGCTTGATGGTACTCGTAGTTAAACCTTACACCATATTAATTATATAATTCTCATACTTGATGAAGTTAATCAAGTTCTAAAATACACAATTATTCGTCGACCTACAACTTATCACATCTCGGTACGATTATACGGCTTTAAAAATGAACTAATTGAAAAGGATCCCTTCCTCGAATAAATTCTTTTATGATTTAATGGGCATATTTAAAATAATTACTCAAATATTCAAAGTGCAACTATCCCACCACGTCATAATTTCATGTGATGACCTTTGCTGTTAGAAGGCTACTTTATATATATTTACGATTTAATACCTTGAGACTACTTACCAACTATTAACAGTTAAAATTGTTACTAACAGAAGCTAAAGACTGTTAGAAAATATACCATAATGATAGTATAGCTGATTTAGCTATACAGAAAACTCAAAACTAATACAAGAACTTGGCGTTGATCCCATAACTTTTCTGGCGATGAGTATACAGGTTTTACAAGGTCTCGTAACAGTTAAACCAATGCTTCAAAAGAAACAAAATACTACCACCAGTATTTTTTATTATTCATAAAATAACAGCGATGCTGCCTTCTTACAAGGAAGGGTAGGGTAAGAAAGTGTCGACCCTAAAAGCACACATCTCACCCTATCTTATGGATTTCCGTCTCCAGCGGTAAGGTTTCAACAAGTATGGAGCCAGCACGAAAATTACTCACAAAAAAGTTGCGTATGGCCGGCCTCAAGCAGTTGTCTCTTGAGCACTGCGGTCACGCTCTCTTGTCACCAAGACCACCCCTAACACAATTTCCTTTTCAGGTACCTCTAGAAGAACCCTTCCACGGTGTGGGCAACCGGGAAGTGATAACCGCCCTCATACCTCTAACAGCACTCAAGACCACTGTATTCATAATCAACCTCCGTCTTCACTTCCTATTATTCCTCCTACATCAACTTTCACCTCTAAACTTCCTTTTTCGGCTTCCCCCTTAAGTGTCATCATAGCCAACGATTCTAGTGCTCAAAACACCGTCCCAGGTCTACTGAAACCTCGCTCCAAACTACACATTGAAGCCTTCAACGTACGCACACTATGTCAAATCGGTCAGCAGGCTTCCTTGGCTAAAACCATAGAATCTCGTACCATTGATGTATGCTGTGTCTCCAAAACACGCATACAAGATCCTGGTGTGATCACTCACTTGACCTTACCTCGCCAAAACTGGGAGCTGACGAGAAATACCTTCCGGTTACCTGGTGACCCGACGTCTAGTTCTGGTGGACTGATTTTTACAGAAAACTTTCTGAACTTCAAAAAGCTAAACACTCAGACATAGTACTCGTAGTAGGTGACTTTAATACCTAAGTAGGTAGCTTAAACCAAACAGAGACATTTAGGTAGGTGTTTTGGTATTCCGATTCAGCGAACGGATAATGGTGATCATCTGCCTCAATTGTGCTCAGACAATGGTTTATTTTTAGCAAACACTAATTTTAAGCATAAGCAGAGACATCGTCTAACATGGCGACCCCCTGCACCAAACCAACGGTGGACTCAACTAGACCATATTGCCATCAGTCATCGTTGGAGAGGCTCGGTAAAAGACTGCAGCTCGTTCTGGAGTACATGTTTAGAACCTGATCATGCTCTAATACGAGCACGCATTTGCTTGCGCCTCACTGGATACAGAAAAACCACATTAGGAAGACCCACCAGAGCTCAGAAACGCAAAAGTAGATTCCAGGAACAACTGAGGTCACACCTAGGCAGTTCTGAAAATGAGGCTGACCCAGATGTTGCTTGGAGAGATAAATAAACAGCTGCAGAGACAGCGGCGACATCTATCAGTGATTTGAACCAAAGGGTCACGAAAAACTAGTGGATTTCTGCCAAGTCTATTGCACTGATTAACTCTCGTAAACTCATCCCATCAGGCTCCGAACACGATGAAGCGCGAAAACAAATCAGATCTAGGCTAAGCAAAAGCCTAAGGAACGACCGTGAGCAGTGGTGGGCAACGAAAGCAAAAGAGATGGAAAAGGTGGCGGCTGTAGGTAACGTAAGACAGCTCTACAGATTAATAAAAGAAACTGAAATTAATAAGTGAGACTATTTCGTGAAAAGACGGCACTCTTATCTGCTCCCAGTCCAGACGTTTAGAACGATGGGCGGAACACTTTAAGAAGCTGACCTTTAGCTACTCTACAGCTACCCATCATTCCCAAACAGCTTAAATGGAATATTGGAGTAGGTCTCCCGCCTCTGATTGAAGTTCAAAAAGCCATAGCTAAAATAGGACGAGGAAGAGCAGCTGGTCCAGATGGATTGGTTCCAGAGGTCTTTAAGGATGGTGGTTCAATTTTAGCAATTAGGTTGGTTAATATTTTAACTAAAATCTGGGAGTTGGACGTAATCCCATCTGACTGGTAGCAATCACTATTCGTCCCAATATATCAGAAGGGGTCAAAATCATCCTGTAACAACCAGAGGGATTAGTTTGACTAATATAGCATTTAAAATACTAGCCTCGATAATTATCGGACGCCTAACAAAGACTCGTGAACTTCAAACACGAGGAAATCAGGTTGGCTTCAGACCTGGTCGTGGCTGCATAGACCACATATTCACCATTCGACAGACCTTAGAACACAGGCATGCTTATCGGCGTCCGACAATGATGGCTTTCCTTAACTTAAAGGCAGCATTTGACTCGGTAGACCGAGAGGTTCTGTGGCACTGTCTGTCATTGGAAGGTGTACCTCAGAAGTACATAAACCTTGTGAAGGCTCCTTACTCCAACACTACCAGTGGAGCCAGAGCTTACCGCGGACTGTCATCTGATTTTGCAACCTCAAGTGATGTCCGGCAAGACTGTCCACTATCTCCATTTTTGTTCATCATCGTAGACCTACTGGTGGAAATAACTTACTCGTCGACTGAATTTTCGGGAATTGATCTCTATACAGGAGGTCCATCTATCGACTCAAATACGCGGATGAAATACTCCTGTTTAGTAAAAACACTGAAAAAACGCAGTCTTTTAGTAACACTGAGCAACAACAGGATGTTTGGGATCCGTTTCCCTTCCCCCTCTAAATGTAAGTTGTTGCTTCAGGACTTGCTTGAGCCAACACCTGAACTAAGGATAGGGAGTGAAATAGTCGAACGCGTCGACAACTTTACTTATTTTGGAAGTCTGATCAGCCCTAATGGGTTGGTGTCTGACGAAAGCTCTTTACGGATTCAGAAAGCTCGTTTGGCTTTTGCCAACTTATATCACCTATGGCGAAGGCGAAATCGTCTATCAATAAAAGGAAGAGTATACTGTGGGGCAGTTCGTTCCGTTCTGCGAAATGTGACTATAAATGGTAGAAGATACTCGTAAGCTACTAGTATTTGATCACAGATACCTTAGAAATGTTGCTCACATCTGCTGGGATCACCAGGTAAACAGTAATGAGGTTAGACTCATGGTATTAGGGAATTATGGTAAATCGGCTGGTGAGATTATAAAACTTCATTGCTGAGATGGTCGGGCCACGTGTTACGTATTCCTAAACACCGATTATGACGTCGCGTAATGCTGACTAGTGTTGGAGACGGTTGGAAGAAAAGTAGGGGCGGCCAAACTAAAATGTGGCACCAGTCCTTGAAGTCACTAACTTCTGGTCTTAGCCATGTTAATAGATGCAGACTACTTGGTTGGAGTCCACGTGACTATCGTAACGAATGGTTGGAGACTCTGGGTGATATGGCTCATAACTGATCACAATGGCGTAGGTGTATGCACTCTTTGTCTTCCCTTAAACAGTGAGATTAAAGTTACTTCATACCTTTCTTTCTACGATCCTGTTATATCATTATATGCAATCTTTTATATATTACTACCATTGAAGTAACTACTATGAATTTGGTGCTCATCTTGTTGTGTTAATGAGGTGTGGCAACTTGGACCGGTGCATATATGTGCCTGGTACTACTCTGTAACTGACTGAGTACCACTCCAATAATCCGCTGTTTAGGGTTAGAGTAAACTATTCATTTACCCAGATCACAGGATATCCTGGTGAGGTCACCCAAATTTTAGTGCTAGTGCTTTTGCTCTTTTTAGTTTACAACTTGCTTCGACAGGTTCCTCCTAAAATATTACTGTCCACTATTTATATAAATATTTGGAGAGTTCACAACCATAGAGATAAGCTGGCACTTCAAGAGAAACTTACTCGACTTTAGAGTTAGGCGGGAAACAATGGGCTAATCTTCAACAACATGGTGCAATCCACGCACACAACCTAAATAATTTTCTATCACAAGTTTTTTAGCCAAAAATGATTTAGGCATACCTGGTTCCCTATTATTTAAAATCATATTCTGTGATAAAAGTGCCTTTGGAATCAACCTTGCACTAGTAACTACAAAGAGAATTTTAAACATTGATTTCAGAAAAGCTTTTGACAAAGTTCCGCACAACCGGCTGTTATATAAGCTAAAAAATGTCGGAATCGGAGGCAATCTATTGATGTGGATAAAAGACTTCCCAGTTGGGCACCAACAAAGAGTACGGGTGAACTCAAAGTTATCTTGCTGGGAAACTGTGCTTAGTGGAGTGCCCCAGGGTACAATTTTGGGGCCAGTGCTGTTCCTCTTGTATGTAAATGACCTTCCTCATCTATCATCATCGGTCTTGTTATATGCTGACGACGTCAAGATATGGAGAACGATACGATGTAAGGGTGATAGTTTAGAACTCCAAAATGATCTGAAGAAATTATCTGAATGGTCTCAAACCTGGCAGTTGCCGATAAATACTTCCAAGTGTGCTGTGATGCATATCGGTCATCAAGGTACAGATACATACACGATGAATAACACTGAGCTACCTGTTGTCCAGACACATAGTGACTTAGGAGTTATCGTTAGTCAAGACTTAAAGACTACTGCACACTGTCGTGCAATAGCCACCAAAGGTTTTAGAACCTTATGGTCGATACGTCGGGCTTTTAATCATGTCAACGCTAAAACTTTTTTGACTTTGTATACAGTGTTCGTACGTCCTAAACTTGAGTACTGCATACAAGCTGTTAGCCCCTGCTTAAAAAAAGACAGTGAGCTTTTGGAAAAGGTTCAGAGAACAGCAACTAAGCTGATTCCCGGAATAGCGAAGCTTCCGTATGATGCTCGACTGGCCAAGCTAAACCTATTCCCGTTGTCATATCGTAGAACTAGAGGCGACTTGATTACAATTTTCAAATTGCTTAGTGATAAATCTGCACCTGATATGCTCTCATTTTTCTTGTCTTCTAAAACAGAGAATTTACGAGGACATTCCAAAGAAGTTCACAAGTCCAGAACAAATTACTTGTCAGCTGACTATCGACTTTCCCATCGAATCATCAACGAGTAGAATTCATTACCTCAGCACGTGGCTGAGGCCCCATCCGTCGAGTCTTTCAAAAGAAAGTTGGACCAACTGAGAGACCACCATCGCCAGGACTAACAGACCATCAAGCCTTCTGTCCTTTCCAAACTGAAACTTAAATCCAATCATAACACAAACATTGGGACGGACAAAAAAACTTTAGATACGCTACATAGTAGGTCGGACGAACTGAAGCCATACTTTCCACTCTTTATGAAAGGCAAAATTTCAAAATCCCCTACGGACAGAAATGATCTATGTGAATTTTCCGAAGTTCTTCAGAAAAAACGCTAACTTAACTCAGTTTACACTCCTTTAAAACACTTCAATGTTCAGACCAACTATCGAGTTATAGATAGTTTCTCAAACTGTTTTAAATATATGTATATGCTCAGTCTCTCTAAAATATAGGCAGAATAATTCTTTGGGGAAACGGTCTAAGAACAATGAAGCATCTAACAATGTAGGGAAGTCGGTCTGAAATAAGAGTGGATACTTTTAATACACTAGACGTTACAACATAGTAAGCCTCCTAATCTGAATGAAGGGAAAAGGAACTGATCCATACCAAATCAACCGATTTATATAAGCTCGTAGCAAAGATATTGAAAACACTAGCATACGTATTTACAGGTTTACATTGGGAAATGGCAGTATCCTAATACTTCTATTGATCTAAATGATTTTTTGTTTGAATAACATCAAAGATTGAAATACTCGTCCGCACTTTTCCATTTAGTGTTTTCTACATACTTGGAGCCCATATTTCCAAGAACTGTTCGTTTAAAGTCTGAAGAATGGTGTTTCATTGAGTGACCCAAATTATAGAGGTGGAGGTTATGTAACTTAAAAGTCACGAACTTTAAATAATTCACAATGAGAATGATTAGTCTTAATACTCACTCGTTAAGTAAACTCTACAGGTGAAACAAAGCTAACGAAGTACCGCCATATCTGTCAGACGCGCAACTAACGTTTCAATAATCATCGTTCAAACCTCAAACTTTACCTGGCAACATCAGCAGACCATTTGTTTTTTTATATGAGTCTCGGCATCAAAAAAGTTTTTTGTTAACAAAACGTTATGCTTCTCATCATGCTCCTACTAAAACCAGAGAGTAAAAGTAGTTACAGTGAAGGCAATCTACGTGTCGTTTCAACAGACACACACTGATGGCTGTTAGTTTATGCTTTCGACAGAGGATTCAATCTTCAACGCTTTCGAGTGCCTTGGAAAAGTTTAGAAAGCCTAAGTGTTATTTCAGGCAGTCAGTAGGTTTATATTTCATCGTCACCCAGATGGATAGCTGTATTGCAAGTGAGAAACCAAAGAATTGTTCAATCGATGATTACAGAAGGATTCGCTCAAAAATATTCCAATGACATATAATTCCGTCCAGTCAGGGGAAAGTGGTCGGCAATTTGAGTCTTTCACATTGATACCTCCGTTTGTGATGGGTATGAAGACACCCTTTTTCTATTCATAGGGTAGCATGCCCTTGGCTAACGAACACTTGAAGACAGTGTAGGCAGGAAACAAAATAGATCCACACATTTTTTTAAAAATCCGGGTTGGGTTGGTCCACTTTAGCAGATTTACGGGTCCCAGTGCCTCAGAATCTCCTTGGATTTTTAAAAATCTGAAACTGTACAATGCTTAGCTCAACATAGGAAAAGATGTATTTGGGCCAATGGATAGACATTTAACGGAGTGGGAATAAGTGAGTTATAGTCCCTTAGCTAGCAGCCTACTAAAAAGACTGTGTGTTGTTAAGGGATCGCAAACCAGGATATAAGCGTATGTCGATTAATAAACTGAAAGATATTCTTAAGAAGGTTCGACCATTCGTCCATATCATCAGAGTCAAGCTCGCTCACTCAAGATAGTTTCTCGAGGTCTGTCCTAAAATCACTGCAACCAGTTTTTTGAAAGTTTTTAACAATGGATACATTCATACGTTAAGTCACTTATGGAGATACAGGATGATTGCTTCATCCAAAATGGTTCAAGACTAATAACTCTTTGACTGACTTCAAGAGGCATTTCCTGGAGTTCTAGTGAGAAGTCGTTACCAGTGAAGTTCAACCAGGTCTATTGTGAGATATCAACTCACTGAAGAAATGGTGTACGGTAGAGCAACTTCGTGGATTGGTTGAAGTCAGACATTAACACAGTTGGATGCCGGCTCAGTGGTCTAATGGTTAAGCGCTCGCGCGCGAAACTGATAGGTCCTGGGTTCGAACCCTGTGCGGGCGGGATCGTGGATGCGCACTACTGGGGAGTACCATATTGGGACGAAACGGCCGTCCAGTGCTTCCAGGTTTTCCATGGTGGTCTAGCTTCAACTGACTCGTGATTTCAACAATTGAAATCCTTAACCTCCAATGAGTGGCTAGTGGATATCTGGTTCAGACCCATAGTCTGACTCCAGTTAGATCGTATGATGACTGTTATCGAAGTATACATGACTTCAACCTTCGAATACAACTACAGACTTGAATAGCGTTAAGGAATAACGGAAGTGAATAAGTCAAATACAATAATGGATTTTGAATTCATATATTTTATACACCCGTCGACCTGAGCGGACAATCAGGGAAACTCAGAGAAGGAAGCGGGGCAAAACGAAACGAAGTGACGCTTAACGGAAAAGGCAAGTGAGCCAACTCAATTTGGTTCATCGTTACTCATTATTTACATTGAGACCAAAAGTAAGTTACAGACAAATAACGATTAGGGAAGGCAATCAACACACATACGATCCTATCAAAACAGTCGGGGTTAACAAGCGAAGAAATGAAATGGTCAAAATATGGCTCGGGAAGTATGAATGAATTGGCTTATCCAGAAGCTAGAATAACCTACGAAAGCTTGTATTAGTACTAGCTAATCCAAAGCTTCCTTTCTGTAAATGCGAGTAATAACAAAAACTAGTCACAGAATAAATTTACGTTAACCATCCCCACAAACTAGAGGCTTTTCCTTTGGACCTCTGCAAGTACACTAAGTTACATATTAGGACAAGCTGACTTGTTGAGTATTGCTTTTTAGGAAGGAAGGATCTGTAACATTCAACAACAAGTCCCCTCCATACTACACCATAAGACATTAGGTGACTTATCCTGATGGGAGAAATTTCCTGAGCTCGAAGGGAGGTGGATGCAGACCACGACTTCACAACTCGAAGTATCAGATCTGTCACTATGAAACAGTTGGCAGTTATCAAGGGAATGTTCTTTATCGATTATATCTTTATAATCCAAGTTTCACAGAAAGCTATCATGCTTGAGTGCATATCATTTATTAGCATTTATTTTTTGTTATAGACTTTGTAGCAACTTGATGAAATATGTCACATTTGACTTCGCTTGTAGTGTTTGGGGAAATTCCGTCAATAATAACGTAGATTTCAAAAATACGAACACGAAACTACTTGGGGAACGTACATTATAGGTATTCGATCATTCAGACAAATGAGAAGTGATGTGAAATTGCATGTGACCTAAAGTGACAGAAATAGCCAACTCGATGAATGATAGGTGATTCAATACTTATGAGCGTGAAAGAAATGTGAGGAGTACTAAGCTCAAACCCACCATGACACAAATTCTCGAGTCAATGTGTGAATGACAGAATGACTGAAAAGATCAGGATAATTAATATGTTCGAAATCCAGAATAAATCAAAAAGGCTTATAGGATGCTAATTGCTATAAGCTCTCTGATCCCTGGATTTTTCGGTTGTAACCCTTTATATAACTCCAAAGGCTAGGAATCGAGTAGAGATAGTCTCCAAATAAAGCATGCACAGTTTGATCATTATGAGGGATTGTAGATTCATGGTCTATTTCAATATTAGTATATTTATATTTGCTACTATAATAATAGACCTAATCACAAAATTGTAAATATGCCATGATGTGACTACCTAATCTATAAGATCTTATGTGGAAGTCACATCATAGTCCACACTAATTCGTTGTATCGCGACAAACAGCAATATGACGTCTGACACTTCTGGAGAACACATTTGAGCTGCGGATAGAATAACATATCATAATGTGATTAGGGATTAGTTACATAGATGACCACACCTGCAAGGCTGAGTCAAGCGGTGCCGATCAAGTTTTCCCGCGTCCACCATTGTTGAACTTCTCTTAGTGTTACGTGTTGAATGTAACTCATATTGGTGATTATATGTTCACTTTCAAAGATCGCGCGTTTAAGAACCCATACCACAACAAACTCATCAACTGACGATATAGCTTGTCGTATGCGGCAACGCAAACACAACATTTTGTTTCCCGAATTCGTTCTGCAAATAATATGGGATTATTATTAGATCTACCACAGAGTCAGTGTAAGTGACTACCAGATAAGGGTGAGCCGGGTTATCTAGTCACCAAATGTTATAAACCAGACACAACACAACGTGAGTCAAACAGTCACATTATTCCCGTTACTTCTACGATGTTAGTCAATCTAATCTTAATGGTTCATATCGTATATCTCAATATATTTCGACCTAAGAACTAAATCAACCAAATTTAAAGCTTTAATGTGTGTGATTCGTTTATATACATGCCTGTAATCGATTTGCAATTTATCCATTATTTATGGTTTCAAGTTACAAATAACCAAAATGGTAGACCTGAAAACTAATACTAACTAAGACCACAAACACATACTAACATAGTAATGGAGAAACGTGTGAATCCTCATATCATGTTGATATTCATCAGCAATCATCTACATATTACAATATAGCAGCACTAAGCATAGAATCATGAAATATTTAAGATCTATACCGGAATATTGACCATCTCTAATCAATACGCTGATTAATTATGCTGATTTGAAGGTTCTTTACAGAGTTTATGAAAACCTCCCAAGATTTCTTCGTATTCAACTCATTAAAACTGAAATAACTCTTTCTATTAACGAAATGAAGCATGAGATTTGCGTTCAGAGGAAGTCATAATTACCAATGAATTCATTGTAGTCCTACTCTATAGTCATTATTGCTATTAATTATTCATTTCACTGTATTCGAATTTGAAAATCTCGCATTTCCCATATCCATATAATTTTAGAAATAGTTGAATCTGACATTAATCATTGAAGAATTATTACTAAATTCACGGTTAAAGCATTGACTTAATAATATTTCTAACAATTGTGAAAACCGCTCAGTAGATTTCTCACTAAAAATGCACTCCAGATATGCAACAAACTCAAAATTTCAACAGGACAACATAATGCTCAGTGACCGAATTTCATATGTCCAGTGTTAAGCAATATAACACATGGAAATTGTTGTCATTTCCAAAAATGTGACGATTTATAGTAGTGCAGCACTCACGTTAACTATTATTAATTATTTACAACAATATATATCACTACACTCACCACATATCCATAACATATCAATCTCCAATGGAATCCGAGCCGAAAACTCACAGGCATCCTACTAATTACTTCTTCATTCATTTCACTGATGTCTGATTGAGTGTGAAACGATTGTCGATCGTCTCAACAAATGTTCTAGTCATACAAATAGTCAATTCCATGACACTCAACACTAACTAGATTAAATTGGACAAGTCTAACGCCACTTTTCATCCCAATAACTTACTCAGCATAACACAAGGTAAACATGTCACACTACAACACTCCATTTTTTTGTCGTTGTTGATGTTGATGATAGTGATGGTGGTGGTAGTGGTGGTGACGGTGGAGGTGATTTCAACCGAAGCGGAAGTGATGTGATCTGACAACATGGTGAATAACTGCATAGACTATGACTGGCATCAGAACAAGAAGCCAGTGTCCGAGTCTTCAATGAGATGACTCTATATAGGAAATGTGTTCAACTACGATGTAGGTCAGTCTCATTTAAATGGAAGGAACTATGCATAGTTATAATGTTCGAAAGTATTTGAATTATCGTGTGAACTAGGAATCCCAGAATTAACGCAATCGAATCAA